AGATCTCTCGTTCTCAAGCTGAGCAAAGGCAAACTCAGCTCGATGCTTCGAGGCAGTGTCCGCCATTTGGAGACGCCTATTCCGCTCATGCTCGAGATCGTCGCGTAACCCTTGCGTTACGCGATCAAAGAAGCTCTCGGGAACACACGCTTCCCCACATGATCGTGTGGAGAGCGTCTTTCCTTCTCCTCCACCTCCATTAGAGGACTCTCGCGGTGGCCAGCGCTATCTAGTTGAGCAGCTGTTGAACCACCGCGACGTGAACGGACGTCGGACGAGTTATCTCGTCCGGTGGCGCGGCTATCCCCCGTCCTGGGATACTTGGGAGCCCCGCTCCCAACTGATGGTTGACGTACTGGGTCTGGTTGAGCAGTACGACGCGGCACATCCTGTGCCGCAGAAGGACCGCCAGAGAAAGTCTTCCCGGCACGGTCGTAAAGGGATTTCAGGTTGTCAATCCCTTCGTACATCTCAGTAGAGATACGTACGCGCCACCACGGGCTATTAGGGAGGTAAGCCTCCTTAGGTGCTCGTGCAGAGTTGTTCACACAACATGGGCACGAGTCTCCCCAAGAGAGGCAGGGTAATCCTTTCTCCCTTGACAGACGATGCAGCTTGTAGCGTGCACCTGTTGGGGTTCGCTTTTCAAACTTATCACGAGCTTTGATAAGTTTGTCGTTCCAAGCGTCACGACCTACATCCTCAAGGTTATGGATGTAGGCGTTCCACGCCTGAAGCAGTGAGGGACCATCACGCTTGTGATTCCCACTGTACCATCGATGTCTAAAGAAAGCATCGATGAACAATTCATTCTCAGCGCGATAGTTTTTCGCGCTGGGGTCAAGGTGATGGATCCTTGAAGAATCGAACAACCGTGCTCGATAACGATCACTCGTCGTCGCCGACAAGTGATCCATGACGGATTTGGGAGGCATCTATGCCTTCTTTTCTGGAGCGAGACGCAAGACATTGCGGTCCCGCTCTTCCTGCGACGTGCCGACAGAAGTACTGGCACCTCGTTGCGAAGTGGTGTCCATAGGAGAACCGACACCACTGTTAGCGCCCGAGTCTCGCGACCTCGAGCGCCTACGCTTCGGCGATGGTTCATCTGATGAATCAGATGAACCAAAGATGCTACGACGCAAAGCATCGTCCATGCCACGCTTGGCAGGCGGCTTGGATTCGATCGCCGTCGATACGGATCCGTCATCCGTATCAGGAGAGTACGAGACACCGAGCTCGTACTCTGTGAAGACACGAGTGTCTTCATGACCAGCGCCTGCATCACCAAGTGACACAGGCTGGGTCGCTTCAGCAACCGATGAGACATCAGTTGCTGTTGTTTCTGCTTCGGCGTCCGCACAGAGACGTGCAGACGCGCTCTCGGCGGCCTTGCTCGCGCATCGCATGGGCTTGTTTACCATGCGATGAAATGTTGGAAAGTGGACGCGGACCAACAAGTGCAAACCCTGTCCCAAATGATTTGGGACGAGTATCCATTTAGTCAATCAGTCACTAAAGTGACTGGTGGTTAAGGGGGGGTGATGTAACGGGGTGAATCGTTACATAACAATTTACAAGAAATTGTTAATAGAATATAACTATAAGAGTTATGTTCTCAGAATATTGTCATAAGGACAAATATTGGAGCACTTACGAGCAGTTCCTAATTGGTTGATATAGGCCATTATATCAACCAACGAAGACGCGCCACGACAGACGCACGCAATGAGTGGTGAGCAGATAACTGATTTACACATTTGTATTTAGACATAGTTAGATGAAGATAAATAGTGATGTATTGCAGACATTAACTATTATAAATACAGTTCTACTTTTTACTTTAACCAAGTACTCGCTTCTTCTTACCGTCTTCCTATGCACGTACGAGTGTACGTGAAGTTACGAGGCACCGCCTTATTCTGTCATCAGAATAAGTAGCTTGTACTGTCACCAGTACAAGCTTCAGGGTGCCCCGTTACAGATAGTCAGCGAGGGGTCGCTTGGATCGTTGGATGCGTATGTTTTAGTTCACGGAAGATTCCAAAGTTGAAGAGTTAAGTCAGCTGACCCGGTCACTCGCACGCTGTCTTCGGTTAAGCACTACCGCAGCATACGCTGTGCCTTTCCATAGCACCAAGATTTGCTAGCAGTACGGGCTCACCCAAATGGAGAGAGAGGGACCTTACCTAGCGCCACAATATGAAGCGTGTTGGCCACCTTCAGGAGGAGACGGGCAGTGCAGCGCCCCCCCCACCTCGTATAGACGCCTTTAAGCAAACAAAATTAGGTCGATAGCTCGCCGCCTGAGCATGCGATCATGTTTACACAGCTGCAGCAGATCATGGATCTACAAAAAGCAAGAGGCAGACGAAACATAACAGCCGCACAATAAGCGCAGGGAATTTGCTATCAGGCGTTTATGCTGACGCAACCAGGCACCATTACCTCCCACGGATATATTCGCGCCATTACATGAAAGTGCGCGATTCATGGAGGTGGCTTTGATTAATCCTATGCATGCAGATAAGCCATGCAACGGGGTAGCCCGTTACATGAAATTGACACCAAACGGTGTCAATTGGAATATTGTCTAGTATGACAATATTCTACCAATATTATCCGGGATGGATAGTATTGAAGGAATATTATCCCCTTTTGATAAAATTCATGCGCTGCTCCAAGATTGGTTGATAAAAGACATATCAATCATAGCTTGTCACCAATCGCTGCTAGACGCGCGCAATGAGTGGTGAGAAGGTTGTCGTCATACAACGGCGTAGTATAATACAGTTAGATAAAGATTAAAGTTATATTGATAGCCTAACTATATTAAATACAGTTCTCTTTTTACCTTTACTTGACCGAGTCGTTCAAGTAGTTTATCTTCCTCTGCACGTACTAGTGTACGTGAAGTTTCGTGGCACCCAGACAAAGAGTGCCCTGTTACACCTGGTAGCAATTCGTAGTCCGTCCAGCGACTACTTAGTGTCCGTCCAACATGAACATGTTGGACGTAGAAGACGACAGCGTTCACGTCACATGTGAAGGATACCCCCACCTCAGTGACTCAGAATGGGACGTAGTCGGCCGCGTGAGTGTGCTCATGGGCGAACCCGCCATCAGTGGTATGTTGGAGTCTCTAAGCAGTGAACAGCAACATGCTGCTATCAACAAGTTCCTACAAGGGAAACTTGCCGTCGAACGACAGAAGATAGCCTTGCTACAGCAGCAAGGCTCTCATCAGTCGATGGGCGGACTGACGCACATGCGTCTACCCGAAACCTTGAAAATTGATATCTCAAGGTACATGGAAACCAATGAAGATTCCCTTTTGAGATGGTTCATTGAGTTAGACGACGCCATCAGGGCCCGTCACATCGATGGTGATGAGATGCAAGTCACCTTCGACCTGTCAAATTTGACGGAACGAGCAAAACTTGGGCCTTAGGGCTCAAGCTTCACGACCCAAACGTGTTTGACTCGTTGGAGATCTTGATATCTCGGCTTAAAGAGACGTTTGAGCCTCCGAGAGCCGAGTTCAGAGCACGCTCTGCACTCCTGAGGCTCAAACAAGGTAAGCGTGATGTGCATGATTACGCACGGCACCTACGCTACCTTGCGAGTAGCGTTACGGATAACCCTGTTGATGAGCACACGCTCATCAACGTGTTCATCTACAGCCTTGTGGATGGGCCGGTGAAGACCTACATGTTTCAAGAGGATTTCTATACGCTGGAAAGGGCGATAGCGTATGCGGAACAAGAAGACTTCAGCCTGAGACAATTTCAGGCTAGCTCGTCAAACAATCGTCCAACGAGACGACAGGAAACAGGAGGTCCCGAATAAACAGACCTCTGTTACATCGAAAGCGAGACCTCTTGCTCTCTGAGTCACAAGCGAACGGCAAGATGCCATCGCTGTCAGAAGATTGGACACTACGCTCATGGGTGTAGTGAGTGTCCCGAGCACTGCGACACATCCGAAAACAGGACGTGATGACCGCCGTGGCCAAGGAAGTGTCCGAGGCGTGGGTCCGACCACGTCGCCAAGCCGCGACAGCAAGTCTGAACGTCAAAAAACGGTCAGGGTCAGTAGGGGCGGAGCACCCTGCTGATCCAGCAACTAAAGAGAATTTGCAGGATTCTTGACGAAGATTGCTCCCAACACACATTCTCTGTGTATTACTGCCATTGGTGATGAGGAGTCTCTCATCACTTTGAAGATCGAAGTGACAAGTGGAATGTCACTTCGCGCCCTAGTTGACTGTGGTGCGTCGAACAGTTTCATTCGAAGCCAGTCGCTTGAAGATAGTAGGCTCAACTAAGTTGAGCGAGATTTCCCTCCAATGAGGATGACGGTGTGCCTTGCTACAGGCGCATCTGTAGCAGTGAGCAAACGTGTAATGGAAATCCACTACATGCTAGAAGGAAAGCAGCAAGATGATGACTTCATCGTACTGGATTTAAATGACAAATTTGATTTCATCCTTGGTCTGTTATGGATTAAAAAATACCAGCCATGGGTTAGCTGGCAGCATCGATCCGTGAAGATGCCTGCCGTTTGTTCATCGGATGGCCATCTGATGAACGTCTTGGAGCTTCCACAAGCGTGTGGATGTACTACGAGTGAGTGCGATGGCCTCACTTATGGTACGGTCGTTAGTACGACTGCACAAAATCACAGTGTAGAAGGCCACTGCACAGTGGAACCAGCTTCCGGCACCTGTGTAGAGACACAGGCTGCGCCGAAGGTTCACCACTCGAAGATATCGAGTGGACTGGAACACGGATGCACACCAATAACGATGCATCCGTGAAGAGAGACTAGTGTTGTTCAGGATGGGCAACACGTTGAAGCAGGATCGATTATCGGAGAGTCGATCGTAGAGCAAGCCCGATCAACTGAAAGATAGTCGATTGAAGAGGACGTGACCGTGATAGTACACGTAACGGAAGAAAAACCCAGCGTTCCTGAGAGAAATAACTCCCGAAAGAGTTATGTTGAGGGTGTGGATCCCCAACTCTCGAGAGAGTTATGTTGAGGGTGTGGATCCCAAACCTGCGGATGTGTTTTCCCAGGAAATTACCGAGTCAGTTAATGTCTTGGTAGATGATGGATCAAGTGTAGGCGCTTATACACTTGATCTGGTGACGCCCCCGAAGTCAGCTTCGGAGATAGTCAAGTTGCCAACGCTAGAGTCTAAAAGATTCTTGCGAGATCTGCGCAGTGGCAAGATCAAGCAGATCTGCGTACTCGTCACAGAGGACGAGAATGTCGCCGATACTCGGTCGGCACAAGTGTTTGCTGAGAACGAACGGGTTATCAGTAGCCCATCTACGGACGAGATTGTCCTCGATGAGAAGACCCGGATTGAGCGATACACGTCTCAATATTGGGAGTCTTCAAAGACAAATCCTACGTATAAGGATTTGGTGGAATTCAGGGATGTTTTCCCGGTATCCGTGCCATGCGAATTGCCCAAAGACAAGGCACTCGGCATGAGATCAAAGTGAAACCTGGTTCGAAATACTGTGTCATGAAGCAGTGGTCACTGTCTTGTGAACAGGTCACAGCGATCGACAAATTCTTTGCCGATAGATTAGCGGCTGGTCATGTGAGGGAATCAACTTCCCCACACAGCTATCCGACCTTCTGTGTGCGAAAGGCCACAGGAGGGTGGCGGATAGTGCACGCGTTCAACAAACTGAACGCTGCAACGGTACCGGCTTAAACGCCGATCCCAAGAAGGATGTCATCATAGATGGTATGGTAAAAAGTACCATCTTTTCATCCATGGATTTGATGGATGGATTCTATCCGATCCTCATGCGTGAACGGGATATCCCTTACGCAGCAGTGAGCACCCCCAGTGGTATGCTCTGGTAGTGGCTAGTGATGCCACAGGGGCTAAGTAACGCCCCCGCAGCGTTTAACAGATGTGTTGCGAACCTGTTGCGATCGGTGCGCGATTTTGCACCGAGTTAGCTCGACGATGTCTTCGTCCATAGCCGGGCTATGGATGGAAAGACGGACGTGGAGGTTCATAGAATCCACGTCCGGAAGGTTCTTACGCTAATGCGAGAGAATAAGTTGTTCGCGAACCTCAAGAAGTATTTGCAGCGAACGAAATACCACTTCTTGGCTGCATCGTGGGTAAAAACAGTGTACGCCCTGATCCGGAAATGATCAAGGCGATTAGCGACTGGCCTGTGCGAGTCGACGTCAAGGGACCTCGAAAGTTCGTTGGCTTGGCAGCGTACTTGCACAAATACTTGCGCAAGCATGCCGAGATGACTGTACATCTCTCGTCTACTAAAAAAACGAGAGGTGGTCATGGAGCGCTGAGTGTCAGCACTCTTTTCAAGGCATCAAGAAAGGCTTGATACAATTGCCTGTGTTGGCGATTGCAGATCAGGATAGGCCACTTCATGTGGTCTGTGACGCCAGCGATTTTGCAATCGGCTGCGCGTTAATGCAGTACGACTCAGACGGCGTTGAGCACGTCGTCTGTTATCAAACGCGTCAGCTACAAGCAGCTAAGCGTAATAACCCGGTTTATGACAAAAAATTCCTTACCATGAAATATGCACTGGCTCAGTTTCGGTTATATCTCTTAGGAGGTTGACCCTTCATCGTTTGTACCGACCATGCATCGTTACGCACGGCCGTAAACAGTCCACACCTCTCGCAACGAATGGCGAGGTGGATTTCTTTCTTTACGGAGTACAACTTATCCGTCGAGTATAAACCAGGACGACTTAATGTCGTCGCTGATGCTCTTTCGCGTCGGCCCAATTTGGAGCCGACTGCTCCACTTAACTGTAGGGGTAATCCCACTGTTGCAACACAAACAGTGAGTGTTCCGTCGTCAAATCTGCTCGATGACGTGCGAAAAGCATACGCAGAAGATGAGTCTCTTCTGCGGTTGATGGATTACGTATCCAATCCGTGTAATCAAGCTTTGAAAAGCTTGTCGTCTCAATACCGCTCTTAAACCGAACGGTATTCTGTTCGTGATGGACTACTTTACTATACAACAGTCAACGGCGACACACCTCGTGTCGTCGTTCCGGCTCATAATGATTTGCGATTGCGCATCATGTATGAGTGTCACGATGCTACAACAAGTAGACATCGCTGTAGAGAAAAGACTTACCTCATGGTGAGTCGTGACTTCTACTGGCCTCACCAGTATGAGTTTGTGCGCAAATGAATTCGCGCTTGCGAAGTTTGTCAACGAGCGAAGCCTAGTCCTTCATCCCGCGCACCCTTACAGTCTTTTCCGATTCCGGCAGAGTGTTGGCAGTCCGTATCGATGGACTTCGTCTTCGGGAAACCCGAAGACGTTCACAAGAATACGGGTATTCTTGTGTTTGTTGATCGGTTCAGCAAGATTGTACATCTTGTTGCTGTACCGGAGTCAATCACAGCCCAGGGCTGTGCGCGTGTCTTCAGCGATACTATCGTTCGACTTCACGGGTTACCCCATGAACTCGTTTCCGATGGAGACCCCCGCTTTACGGCGAAGTTCTGGCAATCCGTGTTCCGTTGACTTGGAACACTGTTGACTATTTCAACTTCTGACCATCCCAAAACAGATGGTCAAACGGAAAGCGTCAACCGCGTCCTCGAAGAGATACTTCGAGGGTATGTCCACTCGTTTACAAGCTGGAGTGAGTTCTTGCCGATGGCGGAATTTGCCATCAACAACTCGGTGCACGCGTCGACAACGCATACACCGTTCTTCGTGAATGTACCACGCAATACACGTTCAACCGCCTTCTTAGAGTGTGACTCTAGTTTAGGGGGGGGGTGAACTCGCTCGAACAAAAACCGATCTGGTTCTTGCTCATCACCCGACGACAATGGTGTCGACGTGATGGATGCAGATGTCGATGAAATCGATCTAGATGATGACGATGACGACGATGCTGGCATATTCAGCATCGCCAATGACCGCCAAAGTGAGGATTATAATACCATCACTGGTGGAGACAACGTTCTTTCAGCAGTGCAAACGAAGCGCACTGCTGTTGAAAAGGATGAATCAGCAGAGGAATTTCTGCTGACTCGCGAAGCGGTTGTCTGCTTCGTTCAAGACTCTATTGCAAAACTAAGACAAACACGGAAGAGAAAATGTTCTTTCATTTGATAAAGGAGACCTAGTTTTACTGTATACAGTAAACTTACCGAAACACGCAGTGAAAAACGTGGGCAGCAGTAAATTACTGCCCAGGTACATCGGTCCATTTCGTGTGTTGCGCCGAATGGGCAACGCATACACGATTGAACTGCCCCGTAAGATGCGCACGCATCCTACGTTTTACTTTGGTCGTCTCCGCCCGTACTATCAGTACGAGCCCGTTTCAAGATGCGAAGAACACCTCCACGGTCGAAAGCCGAGACTACCCTCGAGTGGTCCCGTTTCAACTGGCCAGTCTGGTCGACTAGCGAAGCGACCCGTTCACGCAGATCAGCGATGTCTCGACGAGCAGCAGCCAGCTCATCACTAAGAAAACGAGTCGAACGTTCGTTCTCAAGTTGCGCAAAAGAAAAAGCGGCACGATCGTCCGAACGATCGTGCGTTGGGAAATTTTTATTCTTCCTCACAAGATCCTCAAGCCCATAAAGCCAAAATCGTTCATGGGCCAGGTCATCTTGCAAACGTTCCGTTAGACGGTTCAGTTCTTGAACATCAACTTGATCCGACCCTGGAGCTGGATCAGGTAATCCCACCGCTACCACATCCTTTGTTGTACTCAAGCGGTGGTCAACGCTTCCTAGTGGAGCATATTTTGAACCGCCGCGATGTGAATGGCGTCCGGATGAGTTACCTGTTCCGCTGGCGTGGCTATCCTCCGGCGTGAAACAGCTGGGAGCCTCGTGCCCAGCTGATTGTTGATGTCCTTGGTCTCGTCGAGCAGTACGACGAGACCCACCCGCTGCGTTTAAAGAAGGGCCGTAGGAAAACGACTTCACCGAACGCGAGTACAGGGATTGCAAAGTGTCGATCCCTTCAGCCATCTCGGAAGAGATGCGCGCCCTAAAGTAGGGATCATTAGGGAGGTAGGCCTCCCTAGTGGCACGGTATGAATTGTCCAGGCAACCTGGACACGAATCACCCCACGAGAGACAGGGTAAATCTGCCTCTCTCGAAAGCCGGTGCAACTTGTATTGCGCCCCGACGGGGTTGCGTTCTCAAACCTGATGCGAGCTGCATCAAGTTTGGCGAGTCAAGCCTCACGTCCAATACACTCGATGTTGTGGATGAGGGCATTCCATCCCTGCACCAAGGCTTTGCTGTATCGAACACGGCTACCATTGTTTCACCGATGTTTAAAGAACGCATCGGTGAAGAACTCTTCCTCAGCACGGATAGTTTCCGTACTGGAATCAGGTGGGAAAATCTTCCTGCAATCGAACAACGGGTTTCGATCCCGTTCGGTAGTCGTGCCCTCCAACTGGTCCAACTCTATGGTTGGCGGCATCCACGGAGACTCCACTCGAAGAGCGTGGCGCAGGACATTTCGGTCCCTAGCCTCTTGATTGGTGCCAGCATGAGCACTGGGACCAGTGTTACCCCGATCACTTGAATGAATTCGCTCGTGGTGATGTATAAGTGCATCACCACCATCCCCACGCGTCCTATCGTTAGACGGACTTGCTTGAGGCGGAGATTCACCGGAGTAATCACTCGATCCGAAGATTTCGGTCATAATACCGCCGCGTTGACCAGAGCCAGTTAACCTGGCTATTGCAGTGTCCGCCCCAAGTGATCCGAAACCGCCTCCGAGTCGTATGCATCATCCGACTCGCCAGAATAGATGGGCTCTATCTCAGACTCGTCTGGATTACGACTCGTGGCACCCGCTGCAGACGCAACGGATGTACCTGTCGCACGTGGCGACTCACCACGTGGAGTATCCACAACAACAGGCGACGAATCACCTGCTGCTGAGGTGTGAGAGGCACTTTCCGCGGCCGCACGCATGCGTGCAGCCGCTCTTCTAGCTGCTGCAGTAGCAACTCGCTTGGATTTCGAAACCATGCGTTGGATTGGCAAATGAATGGGATGCGACCAACAAGTGCTCCCTTTCGCAGGGTGATCCAACGGTAATCACCCTGTCCCAATCAAATCTCATTCAATCAACGGGTGATTGATGGCTAAAAGGGGGTGATGTAACAGGGTAGACCGTTACATGAAATTGACACCAAACGGTGTCAATTGGAATATTGTCTAGTATGACAATATTATACCAATATTACCCGAGATGGATAGTATTGAAGGAATATTATCCCCTTTTGGATAAAATGCATGCGCTGCTCCAAGATTGGTTTATTTAAGACATATCAACCATAGCTTGTCACCAATCGCTGCTAGACGCGCGCAATGAGTGGTGAGCAGGTTGTCGTCATACGACGGCGTAGTTTAATAAAGTTAGATGAAGATTGAAGTTATATTGATAGCCTAACTATATTAAATACAGTTCTCTTTTTACCTTTACTTGACCGAGTCGTTTAAGTAGATTAGCTTCCTCTGCACGTACTAGTGTACGTGAAGTTTCGTGGCACCCAAACAAAGGGTGCCCCGTTACACTTCCAGGTCACCAAAATAATGCCCCTCTTCCATCGTTTCGTGAGATTAGCTGACTGCTGCATTTAAATCGTTCACTGATCGTCAGGAGGGGGCGAAAACAACGCGCGTTGTCGCTTCGCCGCGATCAACGGGCAAGAGTCAATCGGTTCCACCCTTAATCGTAGCAATGTATTCGGGAGAAGAACCTGCAAAGCAGGCTCTTAGAATGTGCAGCACGTAATCTTGACTTTAACTAATCGCTTTGACACGTACGGTTTTCGTCCAATGAACGCACGGATAAAAAAACTCATATTGGCTACGTATTTACAACGCACACGGCGGCGGTAGTCTTCGATCACGCAGCTTAGCTTAGATAGGAATCGTGCGTAATCACTCGTCACTACCTGCTACGGTTTGTATGTGATCATCTGTGGGCGTCACAGAGCCCTGATTTTGATTACATTCACTATCATGACCACATTAACGCTCAGTATATACCCCACCATATAGGTCCAGGGCCCAGTCACATTACAGATCGTTTACGCTGGCAAAAGTGGCAAAAGTGCGATTTCATCGACAGATTCCGCGACGCGATTAAAACAGCAAGCCCCGTTTGAAACAGACCAGATGATGGTACAAACCTCTCCAAGCGCATCGCATGCCAATCACCAAACTCCATCCCGTCATCAAATACCATGGCTGGCATCCAGTGGACAGCATCAGTATCGACACTCGTGACATGGGGCGCGCTATGCGCAACATTAGGCGCTTGGGTAGGAAGTTACGTGCACGACCAACGCCAACGACGCAGTAAAGATCCAGCGGAGAAGAGGCTGGAGCAAGAGATCGAGCGGCAGAAGCAGCTGCGAGCTCAGGAACGATTTGGCCGGACATCTGCCGAGCGAGAAGCTCGTGAAGCTCTGCAGCAGCAACAGGAGACAACGGGGTACCGGTTTGAAGCCATTGCGCACGTGCATTCGTGTTTTGCCGATCGACGGGGGACCCCGAGACAAGGAGGTCTCGTGAAGAACGCACGCGCGTTTGTCAAGTTCAAGACGAGGATCTCACCAGCATCTCTCGAGGCTCTGGAGCACTTTAGTCACTTGTGGGTGCTCTTTGTCTTCCATGAGAACACCAACTTGACCAAAAGCGCGTCCAAGTCGACGTTCCCAGCCAAGATTGCTCCCCCTCGACTCGGAGGGAAGAAGGTCGGTCTCTTTTCCACCCGCACGCCCCATCGTCCGAACTCGATTGGTCTCTCGGTTGTCAAGATCGAAGCTGTTTATGATCGATGCATTGAGATCAGCGGGCACGACCTCGTGAATGGCACGCCGGTGCTGGATGTAAAGCCATACGTGCCTGCCGATTGCGTACTGGAGCACGTTGTGCCTGACTGGGTGGCAGCTGAAACGGATGTGAGAGCAAGACCTGTTTTGTTCTCGCTGGATGCGATGGCGTCCCTGACCGAACTTGTGGAAGCCAAGCTGTCTTCATTTTACTCGAATGTGGCGGATCTGAAGGCTGCTATCGAACAGATGCTTGTCTTGGACATCCGTAGCGTGCACCAGGGACGCGGACAAGCTGCAGAGACCCAACAGTTCCAATGCCGTTTTGACAACTTACAGATCGAGTTCACAACGCTGCATGAGTGCATCTGCGTGCTGAGCTGTACACGGTATATGTTGTCATCACACGAGCGAACACGCCAGAGACTTTGCTGATAGATAAAAAGAGAATGCATCATGGCACACAACATAGCAAACAACTCACATTCGTAATTACTGGTTGTGAGCTCCCCTTTCTAGTAAAGCAAACGGTTGCGATACCCCACCGGAGCAAATGCCACCTACACAGCAGAATGAGCAGCATACTGTGTCTCGACGTCCTTGATCTCTTGGTCGAGCTCAATCCATGATTCGTCAAAGAGTTCTCCAGCGATAATGCGCTTGGCCATGTCCAGCTTCGGCTCCTTGTGTTTCGGATTGTTGCACAAGTCAATCGTCTTTGCGACGGCCTTGGTCTCGTCGCTGCACCACGATTCACACCAAAGCCACTCTTGTGGCAACGAGAAAATAGGGATCTGGCGTTGGACATAGTTTGGTAAATCTTGATCAAGGTTCGCCAGTGAGTTCGGGTCGGCGCTTAGCTGGCTGTAAGTTGCACGCAAGATGTCACCCGCAGCCATCCGACGAAAGACCACCAGGTCAACCACGTACAGGGCGCTGATGTGGTATGGTTTTCCACGCAAGTGGTCCTTCCAGTAACCTTGACGCCAAAACTGGAACCCGAGGTTGCGAGAATCACAAAACGGCGTGTACCCGTATGGTTTCCCTTCCATGTCGAGTTCCAGAAGTTCCTTCAGATCGGCGCGCACTACTTGGTCCGCATCGACGTAAATGACCTTTTGCACGCCAAGTGGGAACAGCACATCCAGAAAAAGAATCTTATAGCCCCAGATAATGCGCTGCTTCTCAGTCTGCTGACGTAGCCAATTGGGCCACTTATAAGTAACGAGACGAATGTCCATGCCGAATTGTTCACGCAGCACTGGAATCGACGCCTTAAAGTCAGGCGACAAGAAGTTCTCGAGCAGCCAAAACGTCACCGGATTCTTGGTACGCTTGAGAACACTCAACATCATGATCTTAACGAAGCGTTCGTACAGATAACCGGATGCAACCGAAAACACGTGAATGGTCTCTCCGCTACGCTCAGTAGGCCGTGTGCGGGCACTAACTGCATCAGTCAACTCTGTCTGGCTAGTTTCATCACCTGCAGCTTGAGGCTTCTTTTCCACCTCATTGTCATGCTTGCCCATCATGTTTATCATCGAGCTCCAGTACGAACGAAGAGCTCCATCATCCTTGCCAGACGATTTCGCGTCAGACTCGGCACTCAGTTCGTCTGTCGCAGCTACGGTTTCGTCTAACCGAAGTAGCTCTTCGCGTTCCATGCCACTCTTTTTACGGACGAGCAGCTGAACAACTTGAGAGCCAAAATCGTAAACAATCACAGGGTGGGACTCCAAAGGGAGGTCTGTGCCTGGGTCAACAATGTCGAAAAGCTCAGCGGCTCTACCCTTTGCCAGGCGTAGGGACCAAGCGCCGGGCGTCGCCTGAAGCTGAAAGTATCCCAGGTTCTGCATGACAACGGTGTCGCGGTGCAGCAGCTGAGCACCAACTTCACGCTCAAGAACCAATTGTAGTCCGTTGGGAGGCGCGTACAAGTCAAAGGTCATGTCACGGCATTGGCCGTACACCAAGAGGCTCTCCAATCGGAACACAGCTCTAGTCGTAGATTTCACCGCTGTCAGACTTTCAGGGTCCACTCTCAAATTGTCCAAGTCGTCACCCGCGTAAAGGGTCTGTACATTCCAGGCCTCAGGGGTATCAATTTTCATGGTGAAGATTGGCTGAATAGGCAATTTACGAAACTCGACGCTTGTGGCGGCAAGAGATGGCCTCTTCTCAAACAGGTATCGATAGAAACGTTTCAACGGAAATTCTGTGTACTCGTCTTCAGGTACCAGTACCAGCTCAATGGTAGCATTCAACTGTGAGTGCAGCATCCGAAGCATAGAGCTGATCACTTGCGCGGCTTCGGATAGCGGATCAACATAGACTGCAACATGAAGGGATGGATCTCCCGGAAGCCGAATAGCGTTAAGAGCATTCTCATCTATCGTCAGGCGTGATGCCCGCTCGGTCCTCATGTACTTATCAACAATGCCGATAGTCTTCATGACATCAAAACTCAGTTTGTCAGCAGCTTTAATTTTCATGCTGGCAGTATGCTCGATGAGTGCCTTAGCCACAGGCTCAGAACGGTACTTGAGGTCAAAGTCCAGGATAGTGGCCACGTCTTCATCCAACAACGTCTGCGACGGGAGACTCACTTGCTTTCCATTGATAAACAAATGCGGAAGAGCAATCTCGAATGAGCCCTCCTGACTGTTCTCTTCCAATAAAGGCGGGAACCGTGAGCGCAAGAGCATGTCAAATTGCGAAAGCACATTACGCTGTTTAGTGGTCAGCCATCTGCCTGTGTTGCCGTTCAAGAGGATCAGAACCTTATCATGCACCGGATCTTTGCTCCCGTCTTCCCCCTTCGTCTTTTTCCAAATTTCTACGAGTTTTGTCTTCGTCGCATCGACAGACCTCTGCTTTACAACACAGTCCAGTGCTTCCAGAATGAACTTAAGGTAGGCTTCACAGTCCGAGTTACCCACTGCGGCAAGAATGGCAGTCACCAGCTTTCCCGTATCGCTCATTTGCCTGCCTTTGTCATCGCCGTTCAGTTGAGGCACAATGCCAACGCGTAAGAACTGCTTGGAATCTTCAAGTACAGTCTTCACTAGTCGATAGGCGTGACTGACATCCCGCAAATTGTCCAGGTCTGCTGGGAAAATGATCGTCTGCTTTTTCGGCAAGGATCTAGAGCCAGGCGCATGCAGATACGAGATTGCAGACCGAGCTGCAGCCTCCAGTCGACCATCCACATCATCAGCAAAAAGATGCTTTTGTGCTCCCGATCTAACGCCAGCTGCGTGACTTCGTTCCGGGCTCTCAAAAATTGACGAGTAAACTGGGTACGTGTCTTGAGCAGCCATGAGTTCCTCGACAAGATCCATATCGTCGTCCAGCATGCCTCGGTGAGCCAAGTCAACATACAGTGGTTGGTCACGGCCGAAGTTGGCCATCGTTGACCGCTGGATATCCAGGTCCTTCTGAACCACGCCATTGAAGACGAACGAACCCAACGGTACGTGCTTCGCATGGATGAAATCGGTCATTGCCAGCACCTCATTATCGAATCGATCACCTTTCAGGCATGCCAACGCCTCCTCCTCATTTTCTTCATATGTACCGATGCCGGGGGCAGCTTCGGCGTAGGCGTCTACTAGCTGTTCAACCAGAACATTCGGCTTATCAATTACACCAACACGCTGCATGAACGCTGCAGCGATTTGTGTAGAGCGGGCGCGGTCGGTGTCTTCTTCTGCCTCGTCTACGTCCTCGTTTTCAGCCAGCGCGTTCTCGTTTCCTTGGCCACGAGCTCCAGCATCAGTTGCGTCCCTGGACTGAGCCAGCATTAACAACTTTGCAAAATGCCAGGGAGTTGCCTTTTCTATCCCTCTGAACGCTTTGTACTTCTCCACTAACGCACGGCGATCATCAGGAGTTCTGCTTGCCATCAGCTCATTCGAAGATATCAGGAGAGCCCATTGCACAGGTGCACCGCGCATACGCATATAGCCGATGTGGGATAGTGCTGTACGGCCTGCACCTGTTAGTGGATCAAGAACAAGTACGCATTCATACATATTCTTGCGAATGAAAATGAGGTTCCAGGCGGGTCGTCTGAGCGCGCTCACATCAGACGGCCAATCAACATATTCCGCATCAGTCTCAATGTTGTTCAGGTATAACGGTGTCGTGCCATCCATAGGTCCGCGCACATGAATACGAACTGCAGATTGCGTTTGGCTTGTTTCACGCACATTCATCAACATTTCCTCAAGTTCCGTCTGGTTCAAGGGCAAACGACCAAGTTGCTTGGCCACAGACCACTCTTTCTTCAGCGTCTTCATGAAGTCAAACACGTTGAACGAGCGTTCCATTGGGTCGACCGCAATACCATTCATAATGAACATATTGGTAAGCCTGTTGTTCGCAACAAGCATACGTGTGGAAAAAATTCCATCCCGGAGCTCTGTCGAGATTGACTTCCGCGAGAACGCAAGCTTTTTCGCTTGCAGAGGGAAGTCCTGTGAAAGTGTTTCCAGCATCTTCAGCGGATTCTTAGCATCCACTATCGCACGCACAGCGCTTGCGCCCATATCGTTTAAATGCCAGGCCTTGAGCTCATGCTCTTGCTCGCCGTCCGCCTTTTTGACCAGGATGTCGTAAAACTGTCTCAGATCACCAGCAATGGCTTTATGACGAGTCATCAAAGGCTTGAAAAATATACCTTCGACCTCTTCGTCGTCAACGTCGTCTTCCTCACTTCCTTCCTCGTCATCTCCCTCGTCAAGTTCAACCCCATCGTCATCTCCTGTCTTTCTCGAATCATCAATAGTCGTGTACTCCATGTTTTTGACATCCAGAGCCACACCATATCCTTGCAACAATGTCTCCAAGGGCGAGTCACGTGGGTAATGACGCACCATGTACCGGATCTTGCCGTGTTGTGCTTGCTTCACCAGTCTCGAGTGAAAATTGTGAAACTTTTCCGTGCCCACAAGTCCATAGAGAATCACCGACACGGGCGTCTTCGAGCCCGACGTAATGTACGGATACTTGTGGTCCACGGACAGCTCGACATCATTCACACCGGTGGCAATACACGCTTGATTGTTAGATTCTTGCTTCTTGCCCACTAGAATCGCCTCTAGCTCAGTCAAAGAGCAGGCCACGGACTCGACGCAATGTGGTTCCTGGTAGAACACTGCCCACGTGTCCGCATCAGCTTCGCACGGACGAAAGCCCGAGTCTAGTCCCAGCTGACGAAACATCTCCACCTTGACCGAGTACGTACGTGTCGCCAGCATCACCTCCAAGATCTGCATCATCATACAGCATTCACATTCAACAATGAATTCATCCAACCCACTTTTTGTAAAAACACTTTTTTCAACCTACACTTTTTGAGCCAGGCGCAATCGTCTCAGCGACCGCCATGGCAAGCACCCCCAACTCGTCCACGTCCTCGCTCACGAGCGTCACGTACGACGTGCGCGCTCCAATTTCATCCAGGAATTGCCAGAAGTACAGCGGATTCTCCTCCGCTAAGAACTCACTACACCACAAAGAGCAACATGTTTTTCACAATCATCAGAAAAAAGCGTTTTTAAATCAAAATAAACTGTCTTCAGGATCCGCATTTTATATAAAGTGTAAACCCTGCTTGCCTTGTTTCCAGAAGCGGGAACAGCGGCGAGCTGGGCCAGCTGGCCGTCAAATTCACATGAACATTCCGTGCTGACGCCAGGAAGGGCTGCGCCGTCGCGACAAGCACGGCCACGCCAGCGCTTTGCCACGTCGTGAGTCGCATTCGTCTTTTTACAAACTGAGTCACGGACGGGATCCACGTGGACGGATGGGCGTTACCCACTGTCGTGTACCACACTTGATTCCATCGGTCACGGTACACCTCCACCCACCCACCCACCCACCCACCCATCCCTCTCTTACAGCATATCGCCACCGCCCACGACTTTGCATACCATTCCCACTCCACTCGCCATTTCAGAGATCGAGCGCTTGCCCGACTTTATCGCGTGCGTCTGCCCCGCCTCCGCGTCTCCAGAGACGCCGTACAGCCTTCCCATTGCCCCTATCTTCTGCATTAGCGTCTTCCGTACTCGTCCATACCAAATCCTCGTTTGTACCGGTCGAGTCACGCCCGTCCTGTACCAATCATGAACAATCCCAATGCTCACCGCAAGATGACGCCCAAGGGGCAAATGAGCTCCAGCGGCATGGGGCCCGCCATTATGCACCTGCCCACGCATCTCAAGGTCCTTTTCGAGCCAAATGCGCCGCTCGATCACCTCCCGCGTCTCGTGAAGCGCAAGATGCCGCCGTACACGGGACTCGCAGGCTTCCTGGACGTCTTTGAGACGGAAAACCCGCCCCTTCGAGAGGTGCAAGAGACGCCCAAAGAGCGTCGCGATCGTCGACGACTGGAGAAGATGGCGGCCAATGACGCCAAGATGCTGCAAGATCGAGCCAAGCACGATCCAAACGCTGAGGATCCGATGAAGACAGGGGACGCTTACAAGACGCTGTTTGTCGGTCGCATTAGTTACGAGACGACGGAGCAGCAGCTGCGACATGAGTTTGAGCAGTACGGACCTGTGAAGCGCGTGCGACTCGTGGAAGACCCGGACGGCAAGTCCCGTGGCTACGGCTTTGTCGAGTATGAGAAGGAAGCAGACATGAAGGCGGCGTACAAGTACGCAGATGGCAAGAAAATTGATGGACGACGTGTTGTCGTGGATGTGGAGCGAGGACGGACGGTACGGGACTGGCTGCCTCGCAAGCTTGGCGGCGGTATCGGTGAAACACGTAAAGGAGGAGCTGATGTCAATGTCAAGTACTCGGGGAGAGAAGCGATCGGACAGTTTCAGGTAGGTGCGATTCGGGAGGAAGTCGGAGCGTCCCGGTTGGATCGATACGGAGCGCGTGAACCTCCGCGGGAGAGCAGTCGTAGTCGTGGACGCGGTGGAGACCGTCGGGAACGACGTCGATCTCGATCAAGATCGCGATCCCCGGACCGACGCCGTGGTCGCGACCGCAGTCGCGACCGTGATCGCATTCGTGACCGGGACCGCAGTCGTGACCGGGACCGCGGTCGTGACCGTGGCCACCGTAGCCGCGATGTCTCGCGTAGATATTGAGCTCAACTTGGGGATCGCCGCGCTGAGGTGGTAGGTGGTGGTGGGTTTGAGGAATCAGGTACATTGTATTAGCGCACGGGCTTTCACTTTTGCTGTCGAGGTAAGGACTTTTCTGCTCGTTCGCTGACAAGGATGTGCTGTCTGAAGCACAAGTGGTGCCGTGTGGTCATTTCCAATGTTTTTGCGCTTTAATTTCTTGACCAGCGTATATGGTAACGTTGGATGTCGTTGCGACGCCGATGCGTGTGGTACTGATTGAGGCTTGCTAGTAAGTAATAGACATCTGAGTGCTCGTGCGATCGAGCAAATAATGAAGCATCTGCTGTTGACAGATAGGCGAACGAACGTGTTGACTCTAGTCTGACGAGTTTGCATTGCTCAATACCCTCAACACTCACGAACAGACTCGTTGCTCAAGCTGCAGCTACTTGAGCTTGTCGTGCTTTTGTGTTTACAGTGGCAGCAAACGCGACAAAGCCTCAGACTGATACAGCAGTCGAAAGCTGAAACTGTCGTCACAGCGGACAGCTACGACGGCTTGTGTTTGAAGCAAGGACCTCGTTCGACCGCATGAAAGGAACTGTGCATTGATCTCGACAGCAACGTTTGGTTCAAAGCCTTTGGAAGTCCTTCAGAAGTGCTTTGCATGCTATTGTTCAGTATAAACGCTCTAGAAAGCGACACTCAAAAGGCAAGTATGTGTACAGACATTGTCCTCGTCAACGCCTATCAAGTGCTATTCGGAGTTGTCGTTCTAGCACATGCCACATATGCGGTATATGCGATTGTAAGCAGCTCGTGTGATGACGTAAGCGGACTGTGTAGCTCGAACAACTGCTTTGATGACCTTGACACGTGCATGAAATTGCGCTTGCCTTCGAGTAGCGCTGATCTGCGCGAGGAGGTTGTGACTCTTTGGACAGCAAGCTGGGCCCGATGTACTACAGCACCCTTCCCTCTGTCCATGCTGTACGTCAAGTCGAGTTCCTCATGTTTGCTGCCGTGTATGAGAATACGTATAAGCTACGAAATGGCTCGATTGACATGATAAAGCTACTCGTGCAGTCGATTCAGAGCTACTCGCTGGAGAGGACAAACAAGAGTCGGTACAGTCCACAAGCAGTCGCACTACCCTCCCGAAGCGCCAGCAACTACTGCAATGGCCATAGTGACCGATTATTCCATCGTTGCACTACAGACATGCTCGTTTGTGTCACTTGTGATACGTCCTCGATGTCTCAGCAAAATGAACTTGCGTCTGCTCGACGAGCGTTACGCATGCCACAAGGACGTCTTCCTTACGGGTAGCAATTGGACCTTTACGATGGCTTCTCTGTGTCAATCGGTTGCGGGTCCTGTAAGGAGTACTCGCAGTTCACCTCAGGGTGATCTGAAGGACCGCGCGGCATAAATCTCTGTGTCAATCGGCCATAGCATATACTTGAGTTGAGGTCGACCTTATCGGGAAAGCTACAACCTAAACCAACGTAGAAAGCGATTTCCACATCACTTGCTGCGGCTCCACTCTTGCACACAGCAACGAAAGCTAAGAATCGACAGAAGACAAGGTCGATTTGAGAGTCGCAAGACAAAGCGCGCATCACGTACAGTGAGCGACCAGTATCCCTTGGCAACTGCAGTCCGCACACTGCAATAGGACAAGGTTGCTGTCGTCAATTCTTTCGACTGTATTGATTGCCACTGCATCATGCCGAGTTCTTCCAGACTCTCCTACGCCGCGTTCTCAAGTACCAGTGCAATACCCTGTCCGCCGCCAATACAAGCCGACCCGACCGCGTATCGCTTTCCCGTGCGCTGCAGTGCATGCACAAGGTGAGCCGTGATGCGACTGCCCGAGGCACCAAGCGGGTGTCCAAGAGCAATGGCCCCGCCACTTTGGTTCACGATCGCAGGATCGAGCTCCAACTCCTTGACACAAGAGAGCCATTGCGCTGCAAAGGCCTCATTAATGTCGAACATGTCAATGTCCGACTTCTTCAGTCCAGCGCGCTTCAGTGCCCCCGTGATAGCAGGGACAGGACCAATGCCCATGATCGTTGGATCCACCCCCGACACGTGGTAGCTCACGACCCGCGCCAAAGGCACGAGACCATGCTGCTTCACTGCATCTTCACTAGCCAACAGCACAGCGCCAGCGCCATCTGAAATACCTGAGGCATTGCCTGCCGTCACGACCCCGTCCTTCTTAAACACAGGCTTGAGTTTCGCCAGCTTCGCCCTGTCGACGACACGAGGGGACTCGTCCACGGCAAACGCCTCCGTCTGGCGCCCCACCTGGACGTCCAGTGGCGCCACTTCAGCCTCCAGCCATCCTTTAGCTTGAGCTTCAGCCCATCGAGTCTGGCTCTGCAGGGCAAACACGTCGCAGTCCTCCCGACTGATTTCGTACTTCTCAGCCAAGTTCTCAGCTGTCATGCCCATGGGCGTCTTCACGTACGAGTCTGTGAGGGCCGACCACAGCGTATCTTGTAGATTCAGGCCAGCCCCTAGCCCTACCCCGAACCGCGCCTGATGCCCGTAAACAGCCAATGGGCTCTGCGACATGTTCTCGGCACCGCCACAGAGCGCAATCTCGGCGTGTCCCAGCAAAATCTCGTGCATGCCACCGACGACTGACTGGAAGCCACTACCGCACAAGCGGTTGATCGTCAGCGCCGGCTTGTCCTGTGGAATCCCAGCCTTCAGCTGCACGTGACGCGCAATGTACGCGCCGTCAGGTGACGTGGCCGCGACGTTCCCCACTTGGACCACGTCCACGAGCGCTGGCTCTAGCTTCGCGGCGGCTAGGGTTGCCTTGGCGGCATGGGCGCAGAGATCCGTGGCGGAAATGTCCTTGAGTTTGCCGCCAAAGCTGCCAAAGGGCGTCCGTTTAGCAGCGACGACGTACACGTTCTTCAGGACCATCACTCTCGACCTGAGGGTGACGTTGAAGATTTGAAAGTGAGCCAACGTGAAGCTTGAAGTGTGGCTGACGTGAGGTTTTCTTGTGTACCAGGTAGTCACGATTGGGTTGGTACTTTAGCTAGACGTTCACTTTCAGGTCGAGCTAAAGGCGGTCATGGTAAGTACGTTCGTGAGCTCAGCCTGCGTACTTAGTTTCAAACTCCTGTCCTGGGTCAGGATGCCTTCAACCTGAACATTGTAAGACTGGAGCACATATATGCATCGACGGAAATGCTGCAAAACGGAGAAGCACTTGATCTTGAGTTTCATCGTTGCTGTCGTCCTTTTTGCCTAAATACTTTCTTCATATGACGTCAATTTCGCGGGAGGTTCCAGTGGTGGGTCCAAGTACTCAAAAGACTCGCGACGTCGCTTGCGGCCGAAATTCTGGCGCTTGATCTGCCATGCACGGGCAAGCTCGTTGAATTTGAACAGCCTGTTCGTTTCAATGATGTCCGTGCTGACCGCACGAGCGTAGTTTGCTCGGGTGAACACAGCACCGCTGGGTACAGCGGTGGCAGGAATTGGCAAAATATCGCGCGCGAGTTTGGCGAGTGTCGGGAATCGCGTCTCATTCGACTTCCACCACATAAACGGGTCCGATCGCTTGTCGCGAATAAGCGTCGCGTCAAAAAATCGATCCACCTCATCACCATCGATCGCGTAATCGGGCATTCCTTCGCCAATGTCCAACAGCTTTTCAAACGTGGTGTACGCAGTGGAGGCGTCATGTCGCGCCTGTTCGTCGTCCAGTCTTGCGTCCGATAGAGCGTCGTAGACACTTGTGCGCAGCATATCTCGCAGAAATGCCTTCTTTGAAGTCTTGTCCACGGACTCGTTCGAAAACCGGGGATCCAGAATCTTTGCAAGGTGAAAGTAAGGGGACGAGTGCTCCGTGTGATACGACCCGAGGCTAGATTTTACGTTCAAACACACTTTTTGAACCTTGGTGAACGTACTTGCCGTGAAGTCTGAAGCCGATGCAGCAGTGCTCTCACATAGCCCCACGATCGCCTTGCAGACATTGATGGAGGTGCTCAGTGAAATGTGTTTCTGGTCACTCTGGCACGTGGCCATCTGCATGCACTTTTGCAGAAAAGTGGCCACCCACACGAGCAGATCCCACTCGATCTCCTCCAGCAGGAAAACACTCATGCTATTCGATGCATCGCCATACAATGCGTTGATGGTATCCTTGATCTTAGCGCTCTCCAAGATCATTGTGATGGTTGTTTTCCAGTTCTTAGGCGAGTCTATATTGGGAAGCTGGTCGGGGTACTGCAGACCCACTTCTGTCGTACGCAGCGCAAAGTGTTCTTGGCTTTCAGTCGTGGACTTCAGCAGTGACAGCAACGAACGCAGCTTTACAATTTCGTGGCGAATTTCCTTTAGCGCCGCTAGTACTCCCAAATGAATGAGGTGGCCCAGGCATGTCACGTTCCAGTCCGGGGAAATGTTATCTAATCCTATAATTCCTTTAATCTTTTCACGAAGAAAGCGCATGCCGACTCCAGACTCATTACCCATCGGCGTCACACCGCAGAGCAATTTGTTGCCAATGCCCCAGTTGTTTTGGAGCACATTGAACAGCAAGTCTGACATGAAATACGCGTTAAACTCCGGCGGACAACCTTCTAGACCAACCTGAATGGTCTTGTACTCCCACTCAGCATTGATCCAGTGCAGATAAATGGTCATATATCCTTTATGCACTAACCCCGACCACGTATCACATGAAAACGTGATGCGGCCGACTGCAGAACGATTGATGAACTCACCTACACGCGTAAAGAGCGCATAGTACTTGCGCTCCATTGCTTTCTGCAGTACATCTAAAGGTGGAATGACAGCCCTTATGCCTGCAACAGCAAGCACGTCCAGAAACCGTTCTTGCTGCACCACACCAATATCCTGCTGATCATCGACGATCCACTCAATCAACGCGCTGCTTAAATTACGCAACCGCTGCCGTTTCATGCCTGCGTTCGTCACACCGTGTCAAAACCACGTCTCATGTTGCAAGTACTCCTTGTCATTCATTCTTACCTGCAGCATGCTCGTCCAGCTGCACTCCTGCTGCCGTTTCTTTCTTCACCGCCATGGCCTTCTTCGTTCCAAGAATAGCTGTTCCCGGAACTACAGATGCTTCACCACCATTAGCCACCACTCCATTTATATTCTTCTTGCCCTTCTTGCCCGTGGAAGTGTCCTGTGGGAACTCTGTATGTCGCTTTGCATGTCGCATCATTGACGACGTGCCGTGTCGCGTGCTAAAGATCTTGTTGCACACAGAGCACTTGGCCGAATCAATCAGCCCTTCTCGTAATCCACTACTGGCAATGGGCGTAAACGTCTTCCACACGACACTTGTGAGCTTCTTCCTGCGAATAGTCTCGTCCTCGAACGCCGGCATCGCTCCCGCACGCTTAAGCAAAAGGTCTGTGGTGGACTCAATGCTTTCTGCTACCGCTTCGTGCTGCGCAGAAACGCCTGCGTCTTCCCAGCTGTCCTCCACCGTGGTCCAGACGCCGGCGTCGCTGCCTTTGGCGCCGCGCTTGCTCCCGTCTTGGATACGCTGAAGTACGAGGTACAAAAGACATGGGCAAGACAGGTGATGATTCACGAGCAACATGGCGATAATTAGTCATGACAAGAATGAGTGCATGGGGAGAGAGACGCAGCGACGCACACGACACTTGGACACGACCAAGCGAGTGATGTACTTGTGAGTTTGTGGCGGCTTCCGGATGGGCTGAGCCCGCTGATTGGATGAAATAAGGACCAGGATTGAAGCCCAACGGGTTGACTGGCTGCCCAGGCTCGACCCACGTAGCTCCTCGGCTCAAACCCGAGGAGCTCATGGAGTGTGTCGGACACGTGCAACATCATTTCCAGAGACCGGTATACCGGCTAAACCGGTACTGGCCTGCAAGAAGGCGGACGCTTTGTCAATTCCGTCGCACTTGATTGTACGAACCCTCAGACCAAAGCAGAAAAAAACGCTGATAACGGCCACAAATACAAAGACACTAGTTGTGCTGACGTGAGAATAATCTCGTGTGAAGATAGATAGGTTAGGAAATTGTGCTCGACGTTATATGTTGATAAAGACATGGGTGGGTCAAGCGATCTATGGTGGCAGACTTCCTCCTTCTGCGTGAGAGCTCGATGAGAACCATCTTCCTCGCCTGATCCATGCAGCTGTTTGCCCGGTCCGTACAGCGGTAAGTAAAACTTGCATTACTTAGATCTGTGTGTTGTTATCGCTGACCATAGATGTTCCGGTGGTTGTCTAGCCTGAGATCTTACCCGCATGCAAAAGTGCAATGCATAGCCGGGATCAAGCTCGATTGAACGCTCACTTTCAGTAAATCCATCCTCAATGCCTTCAAATGAGACCAAAGTGTAAGAAATCATTATTTTGCATTATACACCGGTAAGAATGAGCTGCATTCTATCACAAGATACATAGCTTGGGTGAGGTACGTCGACATCTACTCGCATCTCGTTTGCGAGAGATTCACTACAAGCTATGACGACTAGACAGTAATGCATGTCCGTGGGTTCGTACATGCCTGTTATTCATCAAACAAAGGATACGAGACAATGAGGCCTTCAAGCACATTGTTGTGCCTGCATTCGTATCGTGCTCTCTTCGTTTGCTTTCGGTGAAGCTACAGCTTGGTATAACGCGATGGGCATCAACTCTTCGCATACCTGCTGTCGACTTAATCGCTGCTACGATGACAATACAATCGCCACGCTTCCGATTGCATGTAATTGTCCTACAAAATGAACGCATTCTCCAATCAGTAGAACCACGGTCTATTTCTAGGCCGTCTAAAGTCGTTGATATAAATGCCATTCACTTGTGCAGCAGCGATGTTGCGTATGCGATAGTATTGGCCGCTAGTCATGTTTCCTCGTCTGAGGTATTCATGCTCCGTATTACGCTGGAAGTGCCAAATTGATCTACAAGGAGCAACCACTAGGGGCCCACAACATTGTGATTGACTCCACAGGCGGGCTACAGCTCGTCACATAATCCATTGCATGGTTCTTCGATTGACTCTTGCAACCAGAATCACCAATTTTACGTGATACATACTTCAAACACTGGATATACGTCTGTTAACTATACTAGCTCAGCGAAGGTCCAGGGGCGCCTAAAGATCCTTCGCCTTTGCAAACACTTCGCTTACTTGTTAATTCGCTGTTTTGATCCCTGACCTAAAAACGACCAATAGCTCACGCTTGCACTAACGTATACTTTATTGCTAGTCAATGACGACAAACATAATCCGACGAATAGTGTCTTTGTCTAGCTAAAAGATAGATCCAAGTCCGACAGTGTGGTGTTGATGCCATCACCCGTGTAGATTTGCGCATGATGAGGAGTTTGTGAAGAATTTCTACGTGGCGTACCACTTTTCTGATGAAGGACGCCTAAATCGACCGCCTCCGACAATTCTTCGGACGCCCTGGCACCGATAAACTCACCGTCACATCAACGTCGTGCTGACTTGCACCTCGTGCAGCATAAAAAGAGGTGTAACGTTGACTTGTCCCCCAAAGTATGTCTTGCGTCGGACTGTTGTTCACAAGAACTTCAATACGGAGGCTGGAAAGACTGCAGGCTGGCGTCATGCATGGAATCAACAGCACCACGTGAACAAGCTTTGCTGACGCAAGGCTGCAAAGGTGAGGAGTGCGATCCGTCCACGCACACGGAACAAAGTAAAACAATCTCTACAAAGGCATTGTGATCAACAACTCGCAACCGTTCCATGTATGATGATCCCATGTCTCGTATCATCCGTGCCAACCTGAGTGTCAGCAAATTGCCAAAACACTCCAAATCGAAAAGCCTCCACGGCAGGCTTCAGCAATCAGGACGCTTTCTCCATCAGGTGAATGGGCTTCAGGATCGAGATCTTGTTCGTTTCCACGATGTATCCATTCATGACCATCTCGTCCAGAATAAAGTGCGCTTTCTCCAAGTTGAACATGATCTACCCACCAAATTGTAGAAATCAATAAACAGAACAAACAAACATAAAAACGCTACCCACACAAAACCACGCAATACAAGAGCGCAAGTGCAGTACGTACGTCAAGTTCACACTGCACAAAACAGAGTAAAGCCAACAGAGTTACATCGTACATACAATGTACACAGTCAACAATGACAACACACTCAGTCCAGCCTTCCTCTCAACCTGGACCACATATCCCCGAAACGTACCACACTCTCAAAGTACTTGTCCATCGTCTCCACGAGCGCATGGATGAACTCCAGAATACCGAGCTCATTCTGTACCCACAACAGCATGGTCAGTACATACCACTACAACCAGTGAAAAAAAAGTGTCCAGAGACGGTACTGGACTTATCGTACCTCTGAGTCGTCGTCTTTTACGCCGACAATGAAAAAGAGCGACGCGTATCGCCGGTAGATAACCTTGTAGCCACGGTATTCGACAAACGAGCACTGTACCGGTACATCGAGAGAGTGCGACGCGTTTTAGACCAGTATACATATTGGTATATCGGTATTTAGTCACTGCGGAGCAAAACGCACCTGCGATTCGTTGCGGCCGAGACATTTGCGGATGATCTCGGCTTCGAGCGCCACGCGCTCCTGGATCGACAGAAAGTCGTAGTACTGCGCCAGTCGTGTCTGGCCTTGCTTGTTCACCATCAACACAAACTTGATCATGGCCGTTGCTCTTGGTATGGGGAGGACCAAAGGTCGACGGGGAGACGCGAGCAAAAAAGACGCGCGGTGCAGTGACTGAATTTTATTGCAGCCGTTTGTTGTGTGGTGCACACAGATGGTAGTCAAAACGATTGTTGTGTACCACGATTCAACAGTATTTTTACGAACATGTAAAGGGAGGGAAGGTGCTGTAAAAGCAGCACGATGTGTAGAAACTGATCTGTGCAATGTTGTTATGTCGACTGAGTGCTAGCTGTCAGAAGGGATTGCAATACGGGAAGAGGGTATGCTGAATACCAGGAGTTTGTTAGGGGCGTGCCAAGCGAAGGAATCGGTGTGTTCGCAGGGCTCCCCTAAAAATGAGGGGATCTGATGCTCACAAAGATGATCCCGGTCTACAAAAAATCGCATACTGATGCTTCTACCAGTAGTAGACCACATCCCAATTGTGACCTTCGGTGCCTGGGAAATCCGAGAAGACTGATAGATTGTGAAGAAGCTTGTTATCGTACGGCGGCACATACTGTCCTTACCCATAACGGTACAAAAGTGGTTTGGGCAGGAGACATCGCTGCACTGTTAGCCAGGCTTTGACGGTGAAACTGTAGTAGGCATACAAGTTTAGTAGCAGCTGCCACGCTTCAATGTGCTGCCTCGTCGATAATTGTCACTCGGAGGTCGACTTTTTCTGAACATGCGATTACAAGACAACAAAAATCGAGTCGCGCGCTATATCTTCACTCAGATATCCAGCAATGGGTTGAATAGGATGAGGTTGACTGTGGCAAGACGACGGTGAATAGGCCTGAATCTCGATGTAGGTACAGAAGAAGCAGAAATGGTTACCATCATACTGCACTGTCATCCTACTGTATCTGGTCGAGTGCTCCTTCGTATACCTTGTATGCTGTTTTCGGCACTTGTTTTACGTGGCGTGACGACACAATTATGGTTGTTCCGTGTTGTATCCGCGGATCCTTCTGACTTTGTTTTTAGCACGACAAAGTGCAAAGCTCAAAAGCTGGAACCAAAAGCATTGTCGGATAAGTTAAATGGATGTTTTCCAAAAAAATGCAACATGACATCTCGTCAAGCTTACACTATGTATCCGTGTCTATCGCTAGTTAATTTTCTCAAACCGAAAAGATCCCTTCATAAACGATTTAACGAGTTAAACGCGACTTTCATTCAGATGAACCATTACAACAAGCTACCTCAACTGTGACGGATTTCCGCGTGTAGGCTGTTCACTTTTACGTGAGGGCCGCGTGACCCTCTAGGTCGTTTACGTCCGTAGGGGTCAGGCTTGAGGTCCCAATCGAGACATACAGCGGCTATATCAAATGTAAAAATAGCTGGTCAACAGAAAGAGCAGTTGGTGGGGAGAATGCCGTTTGTGGCACACCCAGATTTGTGCAAGACCATAGTTGTACCGGAGCACCGAAGCATCACACTGGACCATCAGTGGGAGCTACTCTCACCGACAGTAGAGTGAGTGGTGCCTCGCTACCTCTGTTATATACGTAGAGGGATGGGAACTAGGGACTGACTAGTTGCTGGTAAAAGTAAAACTGTATTAAATATAATTAAGTCCTAATCATTTAACTCAGGTTTAGTCCTAACTTGATTGTATGTATCAACAAAAAGGTATGCTAATGCCCTTTCGCACCACTCATTGCGCGCATCCGTCGTCGATTGGACCGCTCGAGCTGGCTCAAGTGATGACTCGTATCAACCAATAGTGAATATTTCTGACTATTGCCCCTTATGGTGATATTCGCAAACATTATCGACCTTTATGATAATATTCTAAATAACAAATGTCAAGGGTTAATTACATGAAACAGGCTCACTCCGTTACGCCCCCTCCCTCTTAAACGATGGTAACTATCATGTTGATGTGGTCACCGGTA